TACAGCTACATACACACACACACACACACACACACTCATACCCACATACACACATACACACATGTACACATACATACATAAACACATACGTGCATGCATGCATACATACATACGTATATACATATATGCATACAGACAGACAGACACACACACAGACAGACAGGCGGACAGATATCCCTACATATACATACGTACATACATGCAGACCTACAAACAAACATACACACGTACATACATACCTACATACAGATCTACATACATGCATGCATGCAACCAGACAGGCAGACCGACAGGCATATATATATATATACATATGTATATATCGATGCATACATATATACACACACATACAAACATACATACATACATACATACATACATACATACATACATACATACATACATACATACATACATGCATGCATACATGCATGCATGCATGCATGCATGCATGCATGCATGCATGCATACATACATACATACATACATACATACATACACACACATACATGCATACATGCATGCATACATACATACATATGCATCCATACATATATACATACGTGCACATATGCACACATATACATATATACACATGCATACACAAATTCGTGCATACATACATGCACGCATGCATGTATGCAGACATACATACACGCCTACATACATACTTGCATCTACATATATATATATATGTATCCAAACACGTAAATACTGCATGTATACATACGCACATGCATACACACATGCATGCATCATAGCATATGGCATTACATTACAGTACATGGCATAACATCACATAACATAAGACAACCAACGACGATGACGACGACGACGACGACGACGACGATGCCGACGCCGACGACGACTACGAAGGGGGAGGGGACGAAGACGACGACGACGACGACGACGACGACGACGACGACGACGACGACGACGACGATTACGACGACGAGCGACGACGAAGACGACGACGACGACAAGCGATGGCGGCGCGCGTGCCGCGAGCGTGAAGCCCGCGGGCCTCAAGCGGGCAGCCCCCGCGGGCGGCCGCCAGCCGCCGACACCGAGGCCCCCACGCCTGCTCCAGCTGGTTCGCAAGCGCGTCCGAGGCCGCGGCCTCCCGCTCCTGCCGGGAGCCGCGGAGGCGAGGGGAGATCGATTGGGGAGGGCGCGCAGGAGGACGCAGGACTCCGCAGAGGGCAAGGATGCCACCCCAGCCTGCCTCCTCATACCTCCTACCTCCTCCTCCTCCTCCTCCTCCTCCTCCTCCTCCTCCTCCTCATCCTCCTCCTCCTCATCCTACCTCCTACCTCATACCTCCCCCCTCCAACCTCCTCCTCCTCCTCCTCCTCCTCCTCCCCCTCCTGCTCCTCCTCCTCCTCCTCCTCCTTCTCCTCCTACCTCCCCCCTCCAACCTCCTTCCTACCTCCCACCTCCTGCCTCCTCCTCCCTCCTTCCTACCTCCTGCCTCCTGCCTCCTCCTGGCATCGCATCTGTTTCACCGCCAGGGCGGTGTCGTTCGCTCTCGGGCCCTGGAGCCGTCACGGGTCGATCTGGCGCCCACGAGCATGCTTCAGAACAACGGAGTCTGGGGCTCTGGCCTGGCTGCCTACCAGACCACCCCAACCCAACCCGAAGACCCGAATTTGACCCGAATTTCGGGTTGGGGGGGTACGGGTTCCATGTGTTTTGTCAGTGTTCCCCAAACCCCCCCCCACTGGGAATGGAGGGCAAATTTGTGACATTCGGGTTGGGTTGGGCTTGTTTGGTGGATGGTGACGGCCGTGGCTTTGTTTTGCGATGTTGCAATGTGTGTGTGTGTGTCAACTGCGAATACCATGGCAGATACGAACGCCCTTGCCTCAGGAACGCAGAGGGCACGAGGCGCGATGCACTGGACACAAGGGCACCCTTGATTCGGCAGGGTCGACCTACGAATCAAGCTCGATTTTGAGGGGGGTCAGACTTTGCCCTTTTGCCTTCCCGCCTCCTCCCTTATCTTGCATACCCGATGGGTCTTATCTGCACCATCGAGCCGATAACGAAGGGAGACCAGCGTCGAATCCATCTTGGGCGCGCACAGTCCGCGTCGCGTCGACTCCGCGTCGACCCCACGCCGAATCCGCGTCGAATCGGCGCCGAACCCCTGGCTCACGGTGGAAAACATCAAGCCGCGTGCTCCCAGGCGAGGTGAGTCATCTGGCCCCCATCGGCGATCAGTGGGCGATTGGGAGTCGATGCGTCCCCTCCCGAGCCAATTTCCAAAGGGGCCCAGGGACACACACACACACACACACACACACACAGAATATATATATATATATAGATAGATATACATATACACATACAAATATGTGTGTCGGACGTGAGGGGGTGAGGTCGAAGTGGAACGGAGAGCCCCCCTACCGGGAAATCGGTTTCGGTTTCGTGTTCGTGCGTGCCGTGCGTGCGGGCGAGGCGAAGCTGCATGGGCGGACGAGAAGAAAGTCTCCTCCGGCTGACGCGCGGCTGGACCAAATGACTCCCTTCCAGCAACCGGTGCCGCGCGGTGTCCCGCTGGTGTCCCGCCTCCGGCTGAGGCGCGGCCGGACCAAAAGACTCCCTTCTGGGGGCCGGTGCCGCGCGGTGTCCCGCTGGTGTCCCGCAGGTGTCCCGTCGGTGTCCCGATGATGATGATGATGATGATGATGATGATGATGATGATGATGATGATGATAATGGTGATGGTGGCGATGGTGATGGTGTCCGAACGATGATGATGATAATGATGATGATGATGATGTTGACGATGCTGATGATGATGATGATGATGGTGTCCCGATGATGATGATGATGATGTTGATGATAATGATGTGGCTGATGATGATGATGATGGTGTCCGATGATGATGTTGATGATGATCCTGATGATGTTGAAGATGAGATGATGAGATGATGATGATGATGCTGATGACGATGAAGATGATGATGTGGATGGTGTCCCGATGATGATGGTGATGATGAGGTTGATGATGATGCTGTTGATGATGATGGTGGTGATGGTGGTGTCCCGATGCTGATGATGCTGATGATGATGATGACGATGATGGTGCCCCGATGATGGTGATGATGATTATGATGCTGATGATGAGGATGATGATGGGGTGATGATGATAATTTTGATGATGGTGACCCAATGATGATGATGCTGATGTTGATGATGATGGTGTCCCGATGATGATGGTGATGATGATGATATGGTGATGATGATGATGATGGCAACGATGCTGATGGTGTCCCGATGATGACGATGATGATGATGATGTTGATGATAATGATGATGTTGCTGATGATGTTGGTGTCCCGATGATGATGATGATGATGTTGATAATGTTGTCCATGATAATGATGATGAAATGATGATGATGATGATGATGATGATGATAATGATGATGATGATGATGATGATGGTGGTGTTCCGATGCTGATGATGATGATGGTGTCCCGATGATGATGATGCTGATGATGATGGTGACGATGATGGTGTCCCGATGATGATGATGGTGATGATGATGATGTTGATGATGATGTTGATGATGATCATGATGATGTTGATGATCATGGTCTCCCGATGATGATTATGATGTTGATGACGTTGATGACGATGATGTTGGTAATAATGGCCAGGGTGGTGATGATGATGGTGCCCCGATGATGATGATGATGATGATGATGATGTTGATGACTTGGATGACGATGATGTTGATGATGATGACGTTGATTGTGATATCGATTGTGATATCGATAGTGAGATCGATAGTGAGACCGAATGTGAGATCGATAGAGAGATCGATAGTGATATCGATTGTGATATCGATAGTGTGATCGATTGTGAGACCGATCGAACGAAATAGATCGGGTGAGATTCTGAGATCGATCGAGTGAGATCGATCGAGCGAGACCGATAGTGAGATCGATAGTGAGATCGATAGTGAGACCGATGGAGTGAGACGTTGGCTCCTCCCCCCCCCGAACCTCCTTATCACCCGAAGGGAGGTCGTATAGGTATATGTATATGTGTATATGTATGTGTATATGTTTACACTTGAACTTACAATTCTAATGTGTATATATATATGTGTATATATATGTATGGGCACCGATCCCAGGATTCCTACATTTCCCATATTTTCTGGATGTTCGGTTTCCCTCCCACTTCCCATATTCAATACATGTTCGTGGGAATCGACGATTATTTCTGTCTGTGCTTTTCCCCCCCTGAATATATCCCCCCTCTGACGTTGCCCCTGAGGAAGGCCGCGTAGCCGTGGAACACTCCAAAGTTTTGTTCGGCTCTGGGGCTCGCGCCGAAACTTCCATGATTTCTCCTGGCCGACATGGAGACTAGGGATTTGTCTCGACCTGTCTGGCTTCACCTAGGAGATAGGGTCGACTTGAATCGATCTGAGCCTCTGTTCTTGCAGGTCGACTCAAGGGGAGTCGTCAACCCTTTTGGGACGGAGGGGCATTCGACTCCTGCGCATGCGTTCAGACGCCCCCCCTGGCCTTTCCTCAGAGACCCCCGGAGACCTCCAGGACACACCTCCAGAGAGACATCAGGGGCCGTCAGAAGAAGCATCCTGGCCCCCTCTCAGTATCGCACCCACCGTCGTCATGAACATCATTATCATCTACATCATCATCATCAGCATCATCATCAGCATCTTCATCAGCATCATCATCGTCATCATCATCATCATCCTCATCCTCATCCTCTCATCCTCATCCTCATCATCATCAGCATCATCAGCATCAGCATCGTCATCGCCATCGCCATCGCCATCGCCATCGTTGCTGGTCGACGCCCAGTTGAGGGTTGCCAACGAGTTGTGGTGGGCTGGAGGGGTGTTTGCACGAGAACTGGAGTTGGCAACTTCAAGGCCAAGCAACGCCAAGCAATGCCAAGTAATGCCAAGCGACGATTCCTGCCAACGACAAGCAACTCCGAGCAACGCCGAGCAACGCCAAACAATGCCAAGGAACGATTCCAAGCAAGGCCAAGCAACGCCACGCCACACAAAGCAACGCCAAGCAACGCCAAGCAATGCCAAGCACCGCATCGCTCTGCATGGCGCAAAACTGCCTGAACTGATTTGGTTGGGGTCGCGCCTGCTTCATATGAGCCCACACCTTGAACTACTCGGACCGCTGCCCCCCAAAAGGGCGGCCGCGCCGACGACGCCTCGGCTTCGCACAAGTGAGAACGGCCCAGACGGGCCTTCCCAGAGCCTCGCGGCCGACAGGGAGGCAGGACAGGCTGGCGCGCCGACGGGCAGGCGATACCCTGGACGAGGAGGCTCTGGACGCTCCTGCTCCTCATGCTGCGAGTGCGACCGACACCACAACCACGACTACTGGAAAGAAAACAGAACATACCGCTACTACCGCTATAGTTGCTACTGCTACTACCACCACCACGACCACAACTATCACTGCCTCTCCTCCCTCCTCCTGCTCCTCCTGCTTCAGCTCCTCCTCCTGCTCCTCCTCCTCATCATCCTCATCAGCAGCAGCGACAGCATCATCATCATCATCATCATCATCATCATCATCATCATCATCATCATCATCATCACCACCACCATCATCATCATCATCATCATCATCATCATCATCAGCATCGGCATCAGCATCATCAGCATCATCAGCATCATCAGCATATTCATCATCAGCCGCATCATCAGCATCAACATCAGCAGCAGCAGAGTCACCATCATCATCATCATCAGCAGCATCATCAGCATCATCAGCATGATCATCACCATCATCATCAGCAGCATCATCATCATCAGCAGCATCATCATCACTATCATAATCATCATCATCGTCATGAGCATCAGCATCATCATCATCATCATCATCATCATCATCGCCAGCATCATCATCAGCAGCATCAACATCATAAGAAGCACCAACATCATCATCATCATCATCATCATCATGATCAGCATCATCATCATCATCATCATCAGCATCATCATCATCATCATCATCATCATCATCATCATCATACTCATCAGAATCAGTAGCATCATTATCATCATCAGCGTCACCATCATCATCATCAGCATAATCATCATCCTCATCC